CTTGTACCTGGAATTCTACACAGGGGGAGGGAGGGGTATCCACCCACAAGAGAAAGTCTATTTAAACCCCTGGGAAACCCCTCCATTCTGTCTTCAGCTGGCTCACCCCCAAGGATACCTGAAAGAAACTGGAACAAAGGACAGTAACTACAGGGGGTGTGAGTGATTGCTGGACCCAGACTAGAAGGAGACTAGTCTGTAAAAGGAAGCTTACTGGAACACCTCTGAGGGTGAGGTTTTATCTGTATTCAGTTTTCTTACAGTATTAGGCGTAGACTTGCGTGTTTTATTTCATTTTGCTTGGTAATTCACTTTGTTCTGTCCGTTACTACTTGGAACCACTTAAATCCTACTTTCTGTATTCAATAAAATCACTTTTTACTTATTATTTAACCCAGAGTATGTATTAATACCTGGGGGGCCCATCTCTTTTGTAAAGGTAAAAAACAGCAAGTGTACATCTAAATAGGCATGCAACTGCATGCGCTTTCAATACAAAGCTATAAGGAAATGTGATTAAATGAGAGCAGAAATATATGGAGTGAAATCCTGGCTCCACTGGCAAAACCCTTGTTGACTTCACTGGGGCCAGGATTTCACACCTGTGGGTATAGGACATGATTGTCTAGTTGTGTGTTCAACTGTGTTTTCCATCATAACTGATCAAGTGTCTTCACTTCCAAATTTAGGCCTAATCCTGCTAAAATTTAGGCATATGCTTTGTTTTACTTGTTATGTGTGTCTAAGTGCTTGCAGAATCAGGACTTCAGTCAATGTATTTGGATGCAGAATTAATCTGATTATGGTTTTACAAAAGAGAAAAGTACTTACTTCTAAAATATAGTTATCTAAAATACAGAGCTGTAGTAGTTCTTCAATCTTATACCCATGTTCCTAACATGAGAGTGGTGAGGAGGTTTTCTATAGTTTAACTGCTCAATATTGGCTCCAGCGCAGAGCTTCTAAATTGAAAATGTGCATAATTTGGAAACATTAAAAAAAGATTCTAGAAATCCCACCTGAGATGGGTAGTGGTTGTGGGTTCATCTATTACATCTAACTAAATCTTAAAAGAATAATTATTACAGCTAAATTATTTTTTCTTCTCCAAAGTTACAAGCTGCAACAGACACCCCTACTCACAGGGACTCTGACGTCAGGGATGTTGCTATAAAAATATACACCATTATCTATTTATAAAAGATACTGAAATGCTACATAATGTGTGTCTATAAATGTATAGACACATATATACACACATACATAAAAGGTTGGGAAGAATAGCAAGAGAAAGCAAGAAATAAAATACTTAATGAGAAATGTGAATAACTGCTAGTAGAGAAATCCAAAAATAAATGAAAGGGGTTAGTGAATTAAAACACTCCTAGTTTGGCCAATATTCCTTAGGCTTTAAAAGACCTTGAAGTTGCAGGTCTGCTATGCAATGACAATGCCAGATGCAGTCAGACAGCTTTTAAACATGATTCTTTTGGAGACAACAGAATCTAATATACTGGTGTCAAAAGAAACAAACGATGGATATTTTAAGGATTTTAGCCCATCAGATAAAAACCTCAGGACATTTTCATGTCAAAGAAACATAGACAGAGGAACTCACTCACGACATTCTATGTCAAGTTTGGCGAGAAGGGCTTTGACAAGACAGAGGCTGGGCATGCTTAATGGTCAGAATCTGCTTTATAGACATCTTCTCAGAGGGCCTGATTCTACACTGCAGTGCAGCTTGTGTACAGAGTGTAAAATGGTGCCATTATGATTTGCCAGGGTTTTAGAACCACTTTGCACAGGTGCAAATGACCCTAAGAACTCATGAGGCAGTCATCTCCGTTTCCATTATCATATTTAAAGAATTTCTCTGCAGCCTCTAGTTATCAGATTAAGAATCTATGCTAGAACTACAGATAGGCCAAACTAGCCTCTTAGATTTTGAAACTTTAGGCTATGGAGTCCTCTACCAATCTCACATTAGTCTCTATGGCAGATCAATAGGGAGCTACTGAAGCTCGATCCTCTGAAGAAATTCCTTATTTCCAACTGAACTAGTCACTTTAGTTGCTTTTAGGGTAACATTTCTAGTTATTTATATTATTTACATATGCAGTGGCATGTTAAGAGCCAAATACTGCTTCCATTAGACTCAATGAGAACAGAATTGGATTTTTTGTGTGAATTTAAAATGTATCATTTAAAAATTTAGTCCAAAATGTCACCATGATAAGATTTAATTTTTAAACCTGAAATAAACAATTGGTAGAAAAATGATGAAAGACAATATAATAAATGCTCTGTGATTTACCTAAAGTGAGCTGTTTGAATTGCTGTATATAATCCATTGCTCCACAAATTTGGCCCTGTTTACACAAGCACAGAGCAGCTTTCTTGTGCACGCCACACTGACTGTAGGCAATCTGAGCCAAAGCCAAGCACTTGGACTTGTTGAATGGTTCCACCTCCCCATAGTCATAAATCACATCCCCTACTGCCTCACAAAACGTCAGCCTGAAGAAAACAAGGTAATAAAACAAACCAGATAGTTATTAGTGTGTTTTCATAACTCTGAAGCACTTCAGAATCAGGTACAGTAGAACTGGATTGTGTGTGAAAATACCAGACTGCTCCCCTTCAGCTCTTGTGCCCCTCTGTCCTTGTGCCCCACTCTGCTTTTGAATTAGGTTGTTTCCTTCTTCCCCTTCCACGTGCTTGGGCCACAGCAGGCAGAGATCTAAGAGCACAGAACAGACTGCCTCTTCACCAATGCCTGGTGCCATGTTAGCCACTGGTGTTTGGAATGGGCAACTGCAGCCCTTGCAGCTCTCCTGTATTTGTGTGATTCCAGTTGGGGTGCAGGGATGTGTATGGGGAAGGGAAATGGATAGAGACCTCTTCAATATTTTTAATTAAATAAATTCTACTGGGAATTGTGTGATTATGGGAGACTTTAACTTCCCAGATACAGATTGAAGGACAAGTGCTACTAATAATAGTAGGGCCCAGATTTTCCGGGATGTGATAGCTGCTGAACCAACAAGAGGTGATGCCATTTTAGATTTGGAATTGATGAGTAGTGAGGAGCTCATAGAAGAATTGGTTGTAAAGGACAACCGTGGTTTGAGTGATCATGAGCTAATTCAGTTTAAACTAAATGGAAGGATAAATAAAAACAGATCTACATTCTTCCCGTTTATATTGGTATTTGATGTTTCCGGTCTCATGCCCACACGTTTGAAAAGTTCTGCTAATGCAAACCCAGTTTATTTGTTGGCAAAGGACGTATTTGCCTGACTGGTATATAAGTCAGCAGCGAACCAGCTGAGTGGTGAACAGCAGAGGCTAACAGCGGGAGTTTGCCTGGGAGGTGTCCTAGAGGAGGTACGCTAAGTGCTGCATTGGGGGGCTGTATTGGTGAGTATCTGAGTGTCTGCTGCTGGGACAGTTGGTCAGTTTGACTGTGTGCTTGATTGCTTGCTTGTTTGTTTGAAAAGTGTGAATTGGGAGTGCTTTGTTCCAGGTGGGCCTTGAGTGGGCCTGACTGGTATATAAGGGCAGTCTGCAGCGAACCAGCTGAGTGGCGAACAGCAGAGGCTAACAGCGGGAGTTTGCCTGAGGAGAGCACACTGAGGCTTTCATCTGCAGGTTTCTCTGAGTAGTTCCTGCAACAGTTGAGGAAGTTCTTAAGAGGACGGTGATATGGAAGGTGAGCGATCAGCTGTTGTAACCTGCACAGGTTGTGCCATGTTTGTCTTTCTTCCACAGGACAGAAGCGACTTTGTCTGTACAAAGTGCAAGCTGGTCTCCATATTGAAAGAGAAGGTTCGAGGGCTGGAGAAACGAGTATCGACTCTGCGTTGCATAAGGGAAAATGAAGATTTCCTGGACAGACGTCAGGAGATGCTTCTATGGCCACAATGTTCTGAAGACTCAGAGCAGGCGCAGCAGGGACAGATGGATTGTGAAGAGGTTTGGCAGCATGTGACCTCCAGAAGGAGAAAGAGGAGCGT